GCGACCGATGAGACGATAACTGTCGTATTGATGCCTCCACCAAAATTGGGGAAGTTGGTTTTGAGCAAACAACCATGAATTGATCGTTCAATCTTCAACTGCATTGACACTCTGAGACTAGGATTATTATGGCTGCCGCAAATATATTGCTTGGTACTAGACATGTTCTTACCCCATATTCCATCTCCTTAGCTTTCTTAATGAATGCTTCCAATAGGTCTCCACGTACATCTTTATGAACATATTATATATGTGTGCATGCATCCCAATGAACAGATTACTTTATAAGAAGTCAAAAACTTAAAGAGTAAAACGAATAGGTATTGTGAATAGTGGAGGAAGATTTAGCAGAACACTATAGTTAAGGTTCAATGTAGGTAGTATGAACTGAGGGTAAGGTCGGTTGGCAGGACTTAGTGTACTTATATATAGTAAACATCTGACATTGCAAAGTAACGTGTCTAGACATATTATAAAAAGATATTAACATAGAACCAACAAAATTTTGGCGTTTGGTTAACAGTACTGCAGTGTGTGTATACTGAAGAATGGTAGTTAGTCTACAGGGAGCCGTAGAGTAAATCAAACCATTTATGATAAGAGTATAACACCCTGTTATAACACCCTGAAGTGTCACAAATACAGTCTACACGGGCTGTGGCAGCTTGGATAAGAAGATTTCTCTGAAAATTCCTCCATCGAACTGACTTTGGCCGATAACCCCTCTCATTCTTGTTAGCATGCTCACGGCTGACTGATACCCTAACTTGATGTAACGAAATAATTCTTCCAGACGTTGTCGATTCGCGAGAACGTTTCTCCTGAGGAGGGATGCTTTGAGCAACTCGTATGAGTTACTTACCTCGGGACTCGACATCTGCACAGTTACGCACTTGCTGAATTCCCGCAGTAGGGCGTGAATAACTGCGAGTAACTGTGAGTGGTGATCGGTTATCCCATGCTCACAAAAATCAAAGCCAGCTATCTGAAACCACGTTTCAGCATTATCTGGCCAGTGTGGTACGAGCTGAATGGTTTTGCCAGTTGAGTGTATACGAATGACCTTGGGACTAAGATCACTCATGACGGGAAGTATGTCGTATAAAATATGGTACAAGAACAAATACAAAAAGGAACGAACTCACCGGGGTTATCTGCGTATTTATGGTAGATGAAGTTCGCTGTTGGACTCACCAGTTTAGAGACTGGCGGTATAGACGTCCGCGCACAGTACTGAGTATATTAACGCAAGCTCTTATACCGACAAATTCTAATGTATTTCAATCTCGCGTACCAAAAACAAAGCAAAAGACGGTATTTGATCGTCCAAATTACGTGATATATTTCGGGACCAAAACGAGTTATTAGACGAACGCTTAGCTGGCTAGTGATCGTGCACGAACGTGACACGACGGAGTACCAAATGGTGGGGATGCTTGACTGAAAGCGTTCAGCTAAACAAGTTGACTTTAACAGTGGTGGTCAGCATCCAATGTTTAGTGATGATTGCTGTGATCAATAATTTTAGGGAATTATTTGCCGCTACAGGTACAAGCAGAAGAGTTAGAGGAGTAAAACTTGTTTGGAGATCAAGAAAGAGTTTGGCTAAAATCCACCGATAGACTGAGATATGTGGTGGTAACATCTCAGTTCAATAAGAATGGCATACACAATGTACTGCTAATAAGAAAAAGCCATCTTCCCACAAAATTCTTCTCCGGATATATATTGTAGCGATGGCAGACGAGTGGTATGTTAAACTACACTGAAGCCCCAAACATCAGAAATCATTACATGAAAGCCAATAATGATTTCCACTGATCCAGTTTGGTTCAAGTTAAGTTGTAAGAATGATACTAAATTTTGGAATTTCACCGTAGGCCACACCAAGCACTTACTGGGTGGCATCTACCAATCGCCCACCTGTGGGTCAGAGCACAATCAGCTACTGCTCAGCACTATCACAGTGATACGAGATTTGGACTACGACCAAATCACCATAGCTGGAGATTTCAATGCTCCATCACTGAACCTTGGTTTGGGGTGTGCTAAGGGAAAATTTGGCCGAAACCTACTGCAAACTATTCGAAACACGGGACTGACTGAGAATGTCGGAGACGACACTGGGTGGGGCCCTAGGGGAAAGTCATCAAAGCTAGTTTATATTCTAACTAGTGACCAACTACTCGTCGGAAAGGTCCAGATCATGACTCCTATAGGAAGTAGTGACCATGCAGTCATAGGTTTCGTTCTTGTTCTCCGTGAGCGTTTGCAGTGGGATGTTACGCGACCATGTCTGTGCTACAGCAAGGCTGACTATGCTGAAATGCGGAGGCTCTTGTCCGACGCAGACTGGCCCTTAGCATGGGACAACCTATCTGTGGATGAACACTGGGAAGTGGTAAAAAAGATTATTCATACAGCAATCTCGGATACCGTCCCTTTAGTCACAACACAGCCCAAGAGAAAGACGTCATGGTTGAAGAGAGGTACGCAACGTATTCTGCAAGCAAAGCGGAAGGCTTGGTTTACGTGGTGTGTATCTAAGAGTCAGACCGACCACGATGCATACCTCGAACTCAGGAACCGGTGAAATGCAAGAGTCAGGAGGGACAGGAGGTCATTCCAGACTAACCTTGCTAAAAATCTCCTAGCAAACCTCAAAAACTTGTACCGATTCATGTCGGAAAGAAAACCGACAAACCAAGGGGCATGCGCCTTATTAGGCCCAAACGGTCGATATCTCACTAGTCTGGAGATGGCTGAAACATTCAGTTCAGCCTTCGCTAAACAGCTAAACAGCGATGTGGATATTACAGTTACGGACCAAAATGGTGGCACCACTATTTCACAGGAGGAAGACCTAGTGGCTACCCTCCAAATAAACCCCACAATAGTACTATGGAAGCTACAGAGACTCACACCTGAGAAACCCCTAGGTTGTGAGGACATCAGGCCATCTGTTCTGAAACAGTGCGCCGAGGCTCTCTGTAGACCCCTGTGCGACTTGTTCCAACACTCAATGAATTCGGGGACACTGCCAAGGGAGTGGAAAAGAGCCATCCTTTCTCCAATCTTCAAACGTGGGGACAGGCAAAACGCCACTAGTTATAGACCAGTAGCTCTACTCCCAGTGGTATCAAAAGTACTGGAAAGTATTATTGACGAACACATCAGGGAATATTTCGATATGTCTAATATGCTACATGAAGCCCAACATGGTTTCAGAGAAGGCGAATCCTGCGTTACTAACCTACTGTCAGCTTGGGATGAATGGACATCATGGGGGACATGAACGTACCAGTCCATGTGGTCTTCCTAGACTTTGAGAAGGCATTTGACACTGTTCACCGTGAACTTCTCCTACATAAACTAAGCCAGGCAGGTATAGGTGAGCCACTTCTGTCATGGTTGAAGGACTACCTAGCCGATAGGCAATTTTGCACTAAGGTTAACCGAGTCCGATCATCTTGCCACAGATCGTCATCAGGAGTGTCGCAGGGTTCTATCCTAGGACCACTGATGTTTTTGATTTTCATCAATGATCTACCACGCCGTCTAAGCTGCCGGACTCTCCTATACGCTGACGGCGTAAAAATATGGAGGGCGATGAAGTGTCCGAGGACTCAGATAGGCTGCAGGAAGATCTAAACCTCCTGGAAGACTGGGCGGTGGCCAGTGGCATGACTTTCAACCTGAAAAAGTGCAAAGTAGTGAAGTTGCGCACCTGTAGACTGCAGAATGCAAGTTACTCCTGTGCAATAAAAGCTTGTCCTGCAAAACGTCGGAACGCGACTTAGGTCTAGTTCTAACGGAAAAAATGGACACAAGCGTAAATTACACAGGGGATGTAGCGAGGGCATATGCGGTCACACACTTTACGCATAGACAGTTAGGTGCTCTCACTCCTGAGCTCTTTCTGAGGTTGTACAAAACACACCTCAGGCCACACCTTGAGGTGCATAATATTATTGCACCCCCAATGCCGAGGAGAGACGCCAACCTCTTGGAAAGAGTCCAACGACGGGCAACAAAAGGAGTGGTTGGTCTCTGAAACAAACCATATGATGAAAGGCTGAAGAAATTAGGCCTGTTCACACTTAGCTACCGTCGGCTTAGGGGAGATTTGATTACTGCCTACAAAATAACAAATGATCAGAATCACCCAAACAAAGTTGTTCTGCCATTGAGTAGGTATAGGCTCCCACGTGGAAATCCCAGAAGGATAGCTCACCAGAGGGCAAGGACCCGGGTGCGCTCCCACTCCTTTTCACTGTGGGTTTGCCGTTCCTGGAATTCCTTGCCGGCAGATGTAGCTATGGCACCGTCTTTGGACGCCTTTAAGCGAAGGCTGGACAACCATGCAGCGATACAAGGACTGCATCCAAATGGCCTATCCCCTTAAAATCGCATGCACCATTCAGGGGGTAGACAATTAAACTCGTCGTTTTACTTCTTTACATTCTCTCCCATCTTACTCTCCTGACAACTTATTAATATTATAATAACTATTATTATGATTACCGATGTATATATTATTCTTCAAACTTAATGAGCTGACTGTTGTTACGTTTCCTATTTCCGTTTCTGTCTCTTAGTCTGAATAACTTCACTAATTATATATATTATTAGCATTATTATTATTACTATCTCTTTTCTCCTGCCGACAATGCCGGAGGACTAACTGGCGAAAGGATCAACTCCAATCACAGTAGTAACAGTTTTAACACACCTCAGTCTACAAACCCCATATAATTAATCCCAGCACTACTCCCCTTGGAGTCAACCAAAGCTACGACAGTCAAGTGGCGGGACAAGCTATGCAGAAGTTTACCAAAGATCAGGAACCTATACATTACAATCAAGAAGCAAGCACAAAGAAATCAAACTGGTTTATACTAGCTCGTAAGAACGATATTGGATATTTGAATTTTGAAGGTTGTGTGTTATTCAAAAAATTGTTGAGTGACCTTGAGTTCTTGAATTAATTTGGCGTCACGATGTATTACGCGAGGGTAAGCAGAAATTAAGCGTCTCTGTGTAGCTTTCAAGTCCACATAATTTATTTTTAGTTGTTTGAAGTTGGTGTCTATTTCTAATGTTGCTTATTTTTTTGCTTCACGTTCCTCAGTCGAACAAGCTAGCTAGTGTCTTGAAGTTTCTGTAGCAGTGTTTATTTTTACAGGATGAGACTGCCAGTCTCATGCCCAACCTTTTCTCTTTACCAGCATTATTTCTGGTTTAGCGAGGTAAAAGAGTGCGTTAGTGCACGGGGATCGAACTCCGGATCATGTGCATGGTCGTCGAGCGTCCTAACCACTAAGCCACAGACGCAGAATGTTTCCTATGGTTTTAATAAATCGCAAATTGGTACGTAACGTGGATGATTACTCATCATTAGGTTATTCTCATTTTTTTCCAGGTTGTAAAACGATTAATTAATGGTCAACAAAGCACTGTGCCAAAATAGTCCGTGAAGTAGTTTTTTCAAACGTTTTCACCTGTTTCATTTTTATGAAGCCTGTTTTTAGCCTCATAAAATAATATGTTTACTCAATGCATTAGCCTTATATTATATCAATTGAATTCACAGTTGTAAAAATATTAGAATCTGAATACAGTAGCCAGTGCATTTGTAACTGTAGGAGCTATCGAGTTTAGTAATAACTGTAAAGAGCAAACGTGCTAAAGCAGTTCGTTCGCGAATTAGCTTTAGGCAGGTGAAATATGGTAAAATCTGATAATTTCTCTTTAACAAACGTGGGTTTACAGGGAAAAGTTGGGGTATTTTTTTATAAACTTTCTGTCTGGAGTCAACATAAAACTTTAACATAACATAACATAAGCTTTATTCGAAATCAGTACTTGTGATACAGAATGGAATTCTCAGCATTTTACTACAATATTGCATCCAGTTTTTTACATTAACAATAAATAAAGTTCTACATAGATTAAAGTTATCTCAACAACATATTAGTATGTCGGTAGCAAAGCCAAAATTAAAGTGTTTGAAGGTGTTAGAAAAGTAGATACTACTAGCATATTTACTGGCGTAAGCGATAGCAAAATGGTCGAGATATACAGAGTGTGAAAGAACGAACAAGAATGTTTTAAGTAGAGTTTGCAAGGAAGAGAGAAACAAAACAGCACATAACAAAAATAAATACAGAATGAGGAGCGAGAAAACGTTGTACCTATAAATGATGTGAGTTGGAAAGACGAGATCCATTGGTTCTACTGACTATTTAATAAGTTAAAGGTTTCATGCCTGATGCATTCTTTATCGCACAGAACACGGGCTAGGTAGGGTATGGATGAGTTTTTGTACTTACTAGTGCGGGCATATAGTTTCCTATATAGGCTTCTTGTTTTCCCTGAAGAGATACATGGGGAGAGTTGTGAATGTAGAGGGTGTTGTGAGTCAGATAAAATGGATTTCGCCCATTTTTCACATGAGTCCATATGCCTGTCCACCAGAATATTAACAAGCTGGCTAAGTGGCAAACTGCTTACCCTGCTGACAACCTTTAACATCCTACGTAATAAGGTATAGTCTTTCTTCAATAGCCCAGGAAAGACTAAGGGGGAGCAATAGAGAATAATAGGCAGAATACGGGAGTTAACAAATTGTAAGAGTAAGGGTTGGGTTACACCAGAATGTCTTAACTTCTTGATGTAGAAGGTAAGACGGTATATTTTCTTGGAAATCGTCAAGATATGAGACGACCAGGAAAGATCAGAAGATAGAGTGACGCCTAGGTATTTAATTTCCGACTTGGTTTCTATTTCACTGCCATCTATGTTGCACACCTCGTGAGTGCTAACCAGTTTGTTTAGGTCAGATTTATGCCTAAGGGTGAAATTAACTGTTTGGCATTTGGAGGGGTTTAAGGTTAGACCGTTTTCCTTGGACCATTGGCTAATTTCCGATAAGAAGCCATTTAGTTTAGAGCAGTCACTTTGACATTTGACAGGTAAAGATACAGTTAGGTCATCAGCATATTTGACAAAGTTAATGTCATTTGAAGACGGTAGGTCATGTAGGAAGAAAGAAAAGAGAAGTGGGGAGAGTACAGCACCTTGGGGGACACCAGCTTCTGTGAGCACAGCAGAGGAGGATTGGCCTTTGTATACGGTGTACTGCATTCTGTTTGAAAAGTAGGAATGCAACCAGTTAGTGACCCAGGACTCGGTTTGTGTCATGGAGAGCTTATTTAGCAAGAGACTTCTAGGTACAGAGTCGAAAGCAGAAGTAAAGTCAAGAAACGTGCAGCGGACATATTTGGCACCTTTGTCTAATGATGAGATAATACTGTTGTGTAAGACGGCTGCAGCGTCTAAAGTACTCCTACCCTGTCTGTAGGCAAATTGTTTGGGGTCTTCGAAGCTTTTAAGGGAGGGTTCGAGTTTAAGAAGTACTAGTTTTTCCATGAGCTTTAGAAACGGGGAAGTGATGGCGATGGGTCTGAACTTTACGTTCTTGCTATTTCCAGGTTTAGGGACAGGGACTATTTTAATGTCTTTCCATGGAACAGGTACAACGTTTTCGGAGAAAGAAGCATTTAGGATATTAGTTAGAGGAGAACATAAAGCATCTGCACATTGTTTTAGAACATATGCAGGTATGCTATCAGGGCCAAGACTATGTGAGGGCTTAAGAGTTTTAAGACATTTCAAAACATCGAGAGTATTGAAGTCCTGGAAGTTATCAGCTACAAGATTGGTAACGTTAGAAGTGGTTATAGTAGAAGGAGAGCGTATAAAAAAGACAGATTAAGAGCATTAACATCACAAGAGGGAAAAACATTACATCGCTTACTATTGCCAGTAATTTCATTGAAAAGTTTCCACATGCTGTTTGGAGATTTGCATGATAAAAGTGTTTGGTTATAGATAGCATTAAGATTTTTGATTTCAGATTTGATTTGAGCATTAATCTTTTTAAGTCCTAACTTGTCTTTGCATTTATATAACATTTCTTTTTGCCTGCGAAGTTGTTTGAGACGGGGAGACGAGAAGCGGTCGAGGCGTTTGAACAGTGTTTGTTTGGGACAGCATATGTCGAGGCAGAACTTAAGATAATCCATTATATTGGTGATTGAGTCATCTAATGTACTTTCATAGAATAGATCCCAGTTGGTATCTTTTAACATGCATCTTAGATTGAGTAAGTTGTCAGATGTGTAGCATCTTTCTTGTGCTCTCGTAGACAGGTGTGAGAAGATTTTAATATGTGTTTTGCTGTATATTTTTGGCAAAACGCGGACAATGCAGTGATCGGAGTTATGTATCGGTGAACGTCTACGTGTTTCATATACTCCTTCGTCATTAGTAAAAACGAGTCGAGTGTTTTGTCAAGTCGAGTGGGAAATTTGACTATGTTTGTGTGACCAAGAGCTTCAAGAAAGGAGCAATCCGATGTGTTGAAGTCTCCAGTAATAACGGATAGAGAGTTGTCGAAGTTGGCAGCAGCAAACATGGTGAATTCATCAGCAAAATTAGATAGATCAGATGGAGAGCAACTAGGAGAAATGTACATGTTTGTAATATAGAATTGTTTATATTTGGGGAGATGTTTGGGGCGACATTTGACAGTAATACAGTCAATGAAGTCATTTGAGAAGGTGAAGCAGACGTTATTTGAGACAGACCATTTGGAGTGAATAAAAGTTGCAACGCCACCACCATTTTTCTTATTACAACATTGACGGTCTTGACGAAATAAAATAAAGTCCTTTAGTGAGATAAGGTTGTCATCATACAGTTCATGCAACCACGTTTCTTGTAATGCGATTATGGAGTGTTATGATACGTATCAGTTGACATCAGGATTGTAGGTACATTATCTTATTTGGCAGAGAGCGACAGTTTGTGTTCATTATGACGGGGACCGTAGTTAAGTGTATTGGTGTACGTTTGAGAGCTCTCTGCCAACCACTACGATGTTTCCTCCTTGGTTTCTTTGGAATATGAAAGTCATTTGGTCGTAAATCATTAATAAAGTTACGAGAGTAAATGATTCTGTTAGAATTCATATTTAAGTGATAAATGTATGCTGGTAAACAATAAACTGGATGCAAAATGTAGATATTTTGGTAGCAGGCCCAAAAACTTGGCATTGAAGTGCAGCAATTCGAGTTGCCACGTTCCAAATAACACACAGAGGTAGACAAGAAGATGAGTGAAGAGAATCAATACAGTCTGACAAGTATAAGAGTGAAACAGAATGGTAATGGTAGAAAGGAATATGAAAGATTACAGAGACTGAATACATCTGCGCTGGGCATTGACAACGATTTTGAGCCATGTCACCTATTGTCTCCAGCCATTGATTCCTAGAGTCCCGAGGACCCCAACCCGGGAGTCTGCATCTCCCTACCTGACTCAGTTTAACTGTCAAGGATTTCATGGATTGATGAGGCCATGTTTTTGTTTGGCCACCACTTACTCTTTTCCAACCTGCACATATATCAGGTAGTTATGCCCGTCGGGGGGAGGCGATGGTTAGGTATGCGCACCACATGAACTAGCCATCTCAATCTATGTAACTGTATGGCCTCGTCGGTTGATTTTCCCTCTTTGCCCAACACTCTACGCCTAACGTCAACATTACTTACCTTATTATACCGCCTAACGTGAGAAAGAGATCGTAAACATCTATGATCAAAAACAGCCAACCTTTTCATGTCTTCAACTCGTATTGGCCATGTTTCAGAGCCATAGAGAAGGACAGAGCGAACTGCTGAGCAGTACACACGTCCCTTGGTTAGTAGACGGATGTCACGCCTACGCCAGAGATGGTGTAAGTCAGCGAAAGCAGCTCGAGCTTTTCGGATCCGTGCTGAGATTTCATCGCCAATCAGTCCGTTGGTGCTGACACAACTTCCCAAATAGGTGAAGTGGTCAACATGTTCTATCACTTCACTCCCTATCACTAAGCTAGGAGTTGACGTAGTCCAGTTCTGTGGCAGCATCTTACATTTTACAGGGGCGAATCGCATGCCAAACATACGAA